TCCCACACTTATACAAGAGTACAAAGAACGCATCCTTTCGAAGCTAATGAATACAACGCGGTAGTTCCAGCGTCTACATGGAAACCTAAGCCTATAACGAAGCAATTCTCAGCATGATCTATAACCTGACGCTCCAGGAGACATCACTCCTCTGAGCTCAGAGCTAGTCTGGATCAAACCCCTCGTCTCAAGTGTCTCTAAGTACTAACACCTGATACGTCTCAGGCCATTCTCCATGCGGGGAAGTGTATTGTTCCTACAATGTAGCCAACCTTATTCCTCCTATACCAACTGTCCTCTCGCCCTCACGTCCCCCTCCATACACACACAATTAACAAGAAACAACCAAACATTAGGAACCCCGCCCCTACCATTGCAAGTGAAGAAGAATTGGACCCCCCCCCCACTGTGTTAATGAATAATTGGACCTCCACCACTATATTATTTATTATTTATGTCAATAATAATTGGACCTCCCAACTGTATTCATGAATAATTGGACCCTCCCCCGTCCCCAAACCCTTCACTGTATGTCAAAAACAATTGGACCTCCCCACTGTGGTCATGGATACGTGTATCACCATCAATATATTGCTACCTCAGAATTACAAAGTTCTAACTCACATTTTTGGCTGTTTTGAGTTACTAAGACTGCGAGGTCAGAATTTGAAAAAGCTTGACACATGTAAAAATAAAACTTTTTTACGACAAATTTCTCAAAACTAGTTACTTAGCAGGCAGAACGTTGTAATTCTAAGGTAACCATATGTCAAGAGCAATTAGACTTCTTCACTGTGGTCATGAATAAATGGACCTCAAACACTATATGTCCGGAAAAATTGGATCCTACCCACGCCGCCACCCCTTCAATGCGTGTCAAGAAACTTAGAATCCCCCCCCCCCCCCCAAACCGACACTCACCTGTAGGGCCTACCTATGATTCACGAGCTAAAAGAAAATCCAGCAGCCCTCCTTTGAAGGATGTCGGGATGTCATAACATACTGGCTCTACAGCGTCCTCGAGACGCGTGTCCACGACTTCTGTGTCTTCCACTGCGTCATTGGTAACCTCCACGTCATTTGAATATTTTTTGGGGGGTTTATCTCAGACAACTAAAAAATATGCTTACTGAAGACACCAAGATGTTGGCCAAAGACACGGAGGTATTCCACAACCATATCCCTCACAAGGTGTGAAAAGTCACCCTATAAACTTACCTTACTTTACTTTTACTTTTATCCGCCGCTTATACCCTTTTGGGTGTCGCGGGAAGCCAGCCAGAATGCTTGGGTCAGGAGGGTGCGTGGGTGGTTAATGTTTCCCTGACTCCATCTATCCAGGTCTTTCTCGGTCGTCCTCTAGCCTTGTTGCCATCGAATTTTTGGATGTAGACACGTTGTGCTGGATGGTGTGTTGGTAATCGTAGGAGATGTTCGAACCATTTGATTCTTTGATGTTGGATGTGAGGCATGACATCATTTGTGTCCACCTTTATTACTGAGTTTCTAATTTTGTCTCGCCTGTATAAATTTACAAACCTTATAAGTGGGTGGTTGGGGGTGCTCTAGTACGGTTTGTTCCTTCTTTCTCATAAAAACAATTTGTCGTCTTTTTCTCTCCGCCTTCGGTTTTTGTGATTGATACTCTCTTGGTTAACCTGTAATCTTCGGCAGTTATATGACCTAATTGTATTGCAAGTATCGTAAAACGCTTACTAAAACAAAACAAATGGCGTAAGCCTAATCAGAACACCAACACCCGCACATTTCTTTGTATCCACTAAATCCTGTCTAATATATCTATAGTCTTTAAAACCTACGGCAAAAATGAAAGACTGGTTCCCCTGCACTCCGCTAAACCCCGTTCTTGGCGTTCTCCTTAACTAAACTAAAGCCACAATAACTCTTCATCCCCCCTACCCAAAGTAAAAAGTAAAAAAAAACAACAATAAAAAAAACAACCCCAAAACAAAACAAAAACAGAACCGACCCGCTTACACAAATCCACCTTTTTGATAAAACCCAGAAGTGAAACCAGCTCATATTATTACTTGGTTACCTGGTTACTTAGTTGGAGAATAGGTACCGTCGCTGGTGGTACAATGACAAAGCTGCTCCACCATCCTCTCAAGGAACCATGAAAGGAGCTCATACATCAAAGTAAACTACTATTTAGCCGGCATGGGTATAAATACATTCATTATATCAACTGCGAATCTAAATACGTTCTTGACCTCATATTTATTGCAAATCTCACGTGCCCTGTATGAGGGCCAAACTATCAACTCCCGAAGAGTAGGTTCAATAACGACACGCACTCTTTGCATAAAAATTCGGCCAGCATTAAAAACAAAATCTGATCGCAATGAAACATTGACAGACAGCTTCAGGGCGTGGGGTAAAAAATCCCAGCTAATAACGACATGCACTTCTGAGAATATATATTGAACTCAGGCTTTTACCAAATGCTTACAGGTCTCAATATCAACGAGCCTCATTTTGAATATTAATAATATTTCCACCAAAAACTTACTGTCCTCTTTTTTTTTACTCACTCACCGCCTTTGCAACACTGGCCAACCACATCATCTTTATTCCGCTGCTCACCATAATATTATAGCCACAGTCCTACCAGACCTCCCACTCTAACCATCCTTTCACAGTTCTTCAACTGCAATCCACCCCCCCCCCCATCTCTCCACCCACCACTCTTCCACTTCAAGCTATCCCTCATTTATTCATCAATGCGTGATCCCTCAACGTGAAAGTGAAGTGTTCTGTTGTCGCCTGCACCCTTTTTCATCTTCAACCCTACCGTCGATTTCAACAGCCTTTCCCTAGTGAGTCTCAAGTAGCTGGGTTTTCTTCAGACTTAATTTCTCCTCTGTGTCTCCATGTCCATTCACTGGTGTCTGTGGTGAAACGATTAGGCACTTCGCCATCGCACGCAGAGGAAGAGAGTTCGATTCCCTTTTGGAAAGGCTGTTTCTTGAGCATATTATTGCCAAGACGTTGTAATCCTCTAAACCTGGGTTGGCCCTGAAATTCAGGGTCGAAGTAGTCCGCTTCATAAATGACCTAAATTATGTTGATGGGGATGTAAAGTACCCACAATAAACCAACAAAAAAAAGGTTAAGAAATAAAAAACGTGTCTGTAGCTCATCGAGCTTGAAAACCGAACTCCTGAAGACTACCAAAAGTCTCAACTTAACTGTGCCGATGCCGACATAAAATGTTTAGAGTTATATTTTTCAGTCTACTTTATTGGAAGTAGCATCTCATGTTATGTAAAAGCCATTTCTTATTGATGTGCTTGGTAATCTGAAACAGGAGAGCAATTTTCTTTTAATATCTCTCTGCTTTTTGTTAATGTACAACGCGCTCCCTTGTTGCAGTTTGTCGCACACGAGAACGCCCTTGAGGTGAAACATTGATCCCTTCAAAACTGAATAAAAACATTCCCCCCCCCCCCTTTGTTCTTATATCAAACTGTCTGAAACCTTCTCCAGTCTCGTCTTTTACTTTACTTTACAAAGACGACGACGACTATGGTGATGGTAATGATGGTGATGATGATGATGATGATGACGATGATGATGATGATGATGATGATGATGATGATGATGTGGGGTTTTTTTTTTTTTTTTTTTTTTTTCTTTCTCAAATACTATGTTCCTGATGAAGCCTTATTGGCGAAACGTTGAACTGTGAAATATATTTTTTTTGGGAAATACAACAAGGTCTTAACTGTTTTAATACCTTCTTTATACAATGATGATGATGATGATGATGATGATGATGAAGATGATGATGATGAAGCTGGTGATTTGATGAAGCTCAGAATGTCAAAAATTTTGAACATATTTTTATAAACGCCAACTACAAAAGTCGCCCTACTTTATTACTTTTAAAGTAAAGATCATCTCAGCGAAGATTATGTTTTTGGTGGTGTCAGAAATTTCCAGTCTGTTTTTATCGCTTCCTGAACTTCACCCCAGGATGTCGCTACTCTAGTATTACAAAGTTCTATCTGCTTAGTAACCAGTTTTGGGAAATTTAAAAATTAAAGTCACACGTTTTGAGTTCCACAACTTGTCAAGCTTTATCGAATGCAATTCTTTGAACATCTTGAAAACTACTCTTACGATTATGATAGAGCAGAAAAAACATTTGGTTTCTGACCTCTTGGTCTTAGTCTGTCAAAGCGGCCATACTTGTCAGAAAGAACTTTGCACTTTTGAGGTAGCGATTTGTCTAGGAAGCCCCCCCCCCCTCCCCCCACTAAAGTGTGAAAATGTGCCAAATTTCCCCATCACGTAATGACATAGCTAGTGTTGCATGTTTGACGCTACTGTGTGCTGCCAGTGTTTACATGCAAAAACGTGTCCACTGGCGTCTGTGGTGTAACGTCGCTTACAAAAGATACGAGTTCGATTCCAGTGGGGAGATACTCCTTTTCGATTATCTCCATCGTTTTGTTGGGGCGTCGTTTCCCTATCAGCACGGGTTGGTCTTGACAGGCAGGGTCGAAGCATTACATCTCCTAAATCAAATAATGTAAATTAAATCAATGGGTGCGTAAAGTACCTATGATGAAAGAATACCCCCCCCCCCAA